TGAGGAATTACATTTAACAGTAAGACAACGCTAATCTTATTTGCAGCCCGAGGAGTTGATTCGAGATGAACAAGCCTCGAAAAATTATTCCGATGATGTTGTGGATTAGATGCGTCTGACCTTAACCAACGCGAAACCAGGGCCGATTTTCAGTATTTTCATGGTGAGAATTATATGAATGTTCGGACAAAAGCATTGTGATCATTCTTTCGAGGCTTGTTCGTCTCGACTCAACTCCCCGNCCCGAGCTACAAATGAGATTTCCGTTACGTATTTCACATCGGGAGTTCAAGTATATGAATGACCACACAAAAGATTAGTGAATACGCATACCTGACGAGCGGCAAGGACCACGAAACAGGTCGTGTACTCCTGGGGGATTTTGTCTAATCATTCAAATACTACTCATTATGAAAACATTTAAAAATACCAAAGGGAACTTCATGTACTTCTAAAGAACCACTACTTTATGAAGATGGTGCATTTCGAATACTTGAATGCTTTTTTGAAGTATGATATAATGAGTAGTATGATAACGACTGTGCGGAAAAATCTGTGGATCAGTATAACCGGTTTCACAGTGATCACGTCGAACAAACAGTGTTTCCGTAAAGATCAGAGGTTAGAGATTTATGAAGGACATACACATCTGCGGGTTGAAGTTTATGCAATACAAGACCGGGAACAACCGGGGAAACGCATTTCGGACGAGTTGAAATCACCGCGCGGCAGACAGACGTTGCGTTCTCTTTCCGAAACGATAGCGATGGCGAACACGGGCCCCGAGAACCTGTCTCCAATCCTCAAACCCTAACCAAATTTGCGTGCTTAGGGATACACACAGTTGAACACCAACGGTAGACAATGAATATCTGACTAGTGCTCGAAGAACAGAGTTTGTTCGTGGTGATGAATTGACAGACGAGGACAACAACCTGATTTGAATACAAACGGTCCCAAAAACGATTTTGACGTAGTTGAAAACGTGTAGCGTTCGTAATATTCCGCTAAGGTTGCAGAGTGCAACAATACACACTCATGAATGTACGTTCGTTGGGACGGTAGCGAACGCAATGGATTGATACCAAATACTGATCTACGGTGCCAATCCGATCTATCCGCCCTGTTCGGTTCAGTGTCGCGCTGAGTACCACCATTGACAGCCACAAACTACGGTAGCACATAGAATCGGTCAGAATAATCACAAAATCGACAAAAAATAAACAACTTTACTCAGCTAGGTGCGCTATAAATTATTTCGCAAGCTCAGTATTTAAGCATATAGTTACCCTTTTTACGTACGAAACCGTCGAAAAAGCTATTATGACAATATCTGCCAGAAGGAATATGTTATATTCAACCAAGTACTTGCGCCTGACTGAACGTGAATCGAATCAAGGAAATAAACCACCATTTAAATGAGGTGTTTTCCAAACAGTATGATAAATTTGTTGCTCAGAGTTAAGCATCTCGTTCGAAAATACACCTTTGTCATTCTGCGTTCTGAATTCGACATTGAAAGGCGCTCATTGAAATAATATATATTTCAATGACTGTGCTTGTCCACTATCTGTCGCAGAACATTATGTCTGTGTGAGGGGACGCTTAAACGTCCCCTGAGTGTTCCCACAATTTAAACTTGGACCAATTGCCACCGTGGGAAAGCGGCTGGTGTTTTCTCGATGTTACAACGAACCGTGGGAGCCAGGGTGACGGACAGTTCAGTTTATACAACCATCAAACATGCATTTTCGTTCGCCGGTTTCGGTTGGGTAAAGGACAGAGTACTACATATAGACTGTGCGCAACCCCATAAATACAGCACGTTTCTCCATCAATGTATTTTCCCGGGCGCTTCCGATAAACGCTCGCACTGCATCAAACGTTAAATTGGATTTCTTACATCCGCAAAAATGAGTCTCGGATACTTTTGATGAAAAATATAAAAATACTGTTCGCCCCTAGTTTAGCAAGAACACAATTCAGTGAACTGAAATGGACAGAACGTAAGATTGCCTACACTATTTACACGGTCAGCAGGTGAAATACAGATCGATAAACCACCGGGCCTGGCGAAGTTGACGAGGCCGACCAATCACGTGCCACAATCTGATGAGAATGAGCTGCGGCATGAATTGAACTCTCATCACATCTCTGCATCAGGTATCAGGATAGTTAGAGTATAGCTGAGGAATAAAAAACAATGGGCGTTATCCGGTGAGGAGAAGACTGTTTCTAGTGCTTCCGAATCGTGCCCTTGCGGACCAGTACACTGAACTCTTCGCACGGTCACTGAGAGCGATTGCGAATTCCACGTTCCCCGCAGCCAAACTCAGATCAGTGCTATCTGTGTTACATCATCGATGATGCGAATGCAAACTAAAGGCAAACTGCCGAAACTGACACTTTTAAGTGAGTCTGTGGTGCATCCCACTGTAAGTCGTAAGGATCACTAACTGCGATGGTCAAGACAGAGGAAGACCGGTACTAGCTGCAGTGCAATCATCGGTTATATCGCAGACACCGGATACAAAATTGAACCCGGGAAAGCTTTCACTGCCATTCAATCGATCGCTTCCTCGACCAGAGCCTGTGAGCCCCCGCAAGAGACTGGTTCACGGGCATCAATAGCCTCGGTCCAGTCTGAACATGGTGTATTACTATAGTCCGAGTGGAAACAAGATATATCGACACAAAAAACTAACCCTCAAACACACTTTTAAACCTGCCTATCAACCACTACCGTATACCACTGAGTACTGGCCTTAAAACAAACAGATACCTGTTATAGTGTGAAGATTTTTTCACTTTGTACAATCGGCATGAATGTGGTCAAAGAATTCACTGAAATCAGTGGTTGAGATCACCCCGAACAAGTACGGATATTAGACACGTAGTTCCGTTTACTTACATCGATTAATATTTGCCTTGACAAAGGGCAGTAAAGAATTGTGCCTACAATTTACGGTCTGGTGTTCCTGCCCAGACCACCACATTTTCAAACTGTTCGTTGTGGTTACTGGATTCAAGAACAAGATCATATGTTACGTATGGGACGGGAGGGAGAGAGTATGAAAATTGTAGGAAAAGTCAGTCTGCCGTGTCCGTCTA